TCTACTGCTACATATATGGTAGGGTTTGAGTTGGGATAAAAGGTATACTATTTTGGGGGCTGCTATGAGAGGAAGAACCAAATGATTGAAAGAAAATTGAAGACAATGATCAAAGGAAGCGACATGAAGAAAATTGAACTTGAAGGCTAGAGAGGAATTGAAGATTGCAACTAAGTTTTCATTATTTTCTCTTACTTTTACTTCTTGATTTTCTGAGATGTTGTTTAATTTGAGAATGATGTTCTTCAATTACGTTTATCATATTTTGTGCTTAATATTTGATTGTGTGGCCATCAATTAATTTGATTCCCTATATGAAATTGGGAGATAAATTTCAGGAATAGATATGAATATGATAACATGCGTCTAGTTAATTCTTCTTCGAATTGAATAGCTAGGTTTGTGTATAGGATAAGAATATACCTATATGTCATGTGTAACTTTTATGAGAGTTTGAACTTAATGAATCTATTCCACATTATTTTGCATAGAAATATAGCAATTTAATTAGGAGGGGTATTTTTGTCTAACTATTGGAAGAGATTTAATAAATAATTTTGAGTTCTCAATTAACAACTTGTTTTGATTAATTAACTGGAAAGAGAGTTACAACGATTTATACGAAGCATTAGGGAAAGTTGTAATCTTAAGTTATTTTATCCGGTAAATTCAGTCCTTATTTATTAATTCGAGATTTAGTTATAAATTAGTAATTCCATAGTTTAATTCCAATTGTTTAAATAAAGTTGAATTGATATAATGTTAGTACTTTGAAGTTATTAATAATAATTCTCCGTGGGAACGATACTCTACTCATCACTTTATTACTTGTTGATCGTATATACTTGCATGTAAATTGTCAATATCAAATTCGCACAACATCCCACCATGTAAGCTCAAGGTTACAGTCATCTTTGGATGCCCACTTGCCTCCAATAAAGAAGAACTCAGACTTCTAGCTATGACAGTTCGAAGGAAGCCAAGTGATGAACTTGCCCAACCTCGGGGCAAAACTACACCCCCCTTAATGAGGAAAGGGATTGACCATATGCACGGATGTGGTAAAAAACTCCGTAAATGGGGGAGGAACATCAGTACTGTGAACTAGCCGACATAGTGAAAAAACCCTAGGATCACTCTCCACCCTTTGGGAGCTAACCCCTCAAGAACTAGCAATAGGTGCCCTAGAATCCGACAGATATATCCGGGTGTCGAGAACCTCAAACCTCACCTCTAAGGTATCCTCATATCACCTGAAGAGTCACAAAATGCTGGCTTGTGCTCCTCCGTCCGACGACACATGACAGTAGGAGGGATATGGTACGAAGACACAGTGTAGGCGACGTCGTCAGCACAGTCAATCGAGCTAAAAATGGAGGTTACCTTCTAACCGTCACCTTCAACGATCTCTTTGCCTCGCCGTGAAGCCTCCCTAGCATCCACTATTTCACCCCTACTGGCTCAGGCACCTGGTACAACAATGAAAGGCAATGAAGATGAACTGACGTCGGGATTAACAAAAATTCAGCAAGTTTAAGTTAAACAGTTAGAAGGCAGTACCTTGAGCCCCTCCACAACCTGTTCCATCTACCTCTTTAAGTGAGGTCTCAGTGCCCAAATTTGTCACCCCCATGCATGGGTCCATTCTCCCAATGCCCAGTCGATCACGAAGGGATCCACCCAGCCTCAAGTTCCCACCGTCGCCCAAACCATAGACATGACGCCATCACCCGGTGAGCCCCAACCTATATTGGAGCCTCTACTTATGCCACTATTCCACTGGCGCCATTTGGCATGCTGTTGGTGCTGCCCAGTGATTCGTGCGTAAAGTTAACAATTCTTACTATGCCTTTTTGGACTAATTGAGCTTTGATGGAGTTTAAGAAATGGCATTTCAGGTACTAAATTGAACAAAGGCCCAAGAACAACACAAATACACTTGAATGTAACACCAGCACAAAAGGGAACAAAAATGCAGAAGGTCGGAACAAAGCAAGGACGTTTGAACGTCAACCCACGTTTGAACATCATCTGAAACCCTGCCAAGAACAGTTGCTGAGACATGGCATGTTCCAGTCAACAAAGGGAAATGCTGAGGTTTTTGAGTATCACGTTCGAATGCCACTCCATGTTCGAACGTCCTCTCGAATCCTAAAAAGACTACACCACTGGAACCTGGCATGTTCCAGTAAGAAAGAAGAACCATAAGTACTTGAGTACAATGTTCGAACGTCACTCCAAGTTCGAACGTTGTCTTGAGTGACTAAGGAGTTGGTGAGTGGTGTATGGAAGTGACCAATTCAGAGGCCAAGTTAGTGACCACAGGCCACTTGAGTGGAAGAAATCAAATGTCATCTCACGTTTGAACGCCTCAAAGCAAAGGCAGGCTTGATGTTCGAACGCCAGATCATATTCGAACGTCCCCTGTAGACTGCCTGCAGAATATTTGATTCCCATGGGTGGCAAATACTATTCACTCATCCTCACCTATCTCCTACCCCCTCCCCTTCCTTGCCTATAAATACTCCCTTGTTGGAAGCTTAGAGGGCATTCTTCCTCTTGTAGAGAAAAAGGGGGAGCAATCTTTATTCTTGTAAAGTAAGAGTGTTTAGTAATCCAGTTCTTGAATATTTCATGTTTATGCTTTCATTTTCCATTTATATCAACCATGTTGGAGGCTTAGACTCCCTTTGTAGTTGAAGTCTTTCATTTACTTATGCTAAGTCTTTACATTCATGTTGTGACAACCATGATAGAGGCTTAGACTCCCCTTGTAGTTGTACTTGCTTTTACTTACAAAGTATCAAGAGAGGTAATTCATCTTTTGGTTGTGGTGGAAACCCTCCAAAAGTAACTAGCTTTCTTCTACTTTTCTTGTTCATGTATTTCATTTCCATTGCTTGAGCATCCTTCTTCCTTAGAAGAGTGAAACTCTTCCACTTTTCTAGAGCTTTACCAAAGCCATGAAGGGTGGAAAGTGATTCACTTATTCTTCATTGAAGAAAAGCTCTTTGTTTAGTTTGCTTTACTTAGTAGCGTCTCTACTTAGAAGAATGAGTAGCACTCACTTTTCTAGCTTTGCCAAGGCCATGAAAAGTGAGTAGTTCCTCATTCACTATTTAGTAAGAGGTGATGAGTGTGTAAAGATTATCCGAAAGTTATGTTTGTGCAACTTCTTCATGCTTTAATGCTTTATACTCCACCTGTTCATCGGACGATTGAATGCCCCAAGTAAAGTTGAGGTACTTTGTATAACCAAGGGCCCAATCTATGATACAGATGACTCCTGCATAAAAAGATCCGTTGGTTCAATGCAAGTACCCTGACTAGCTCTTCATGACAATCTTTCAATCCCCACTATCATTATGCTTTATTCAAAGAATGGATCATTAATGCCATGGTTGGATGCCTTGTAGAAACACTTGCTTGTTTGTAGACGGTTTAAATCTCGGCATAGACAATTCTTGTAAATTTCTAGAAAGGCATCAGAATCATGTGCTTAATTCTCATAGTCTATCTTTATCTTCTGATTAATTTGTTGTTGACACGAAAGTAAATTGAGTTATAAAGCACAAACATAACAAAATGGATACTCTGTTACATGTCTTGATCCTTGAGCTAAAGAGTAGTTGTTCCATTTTGAGAATCTTATATTTTGTCTAGAAAACTCTTGAATAGAATCTTCTATTCTAATAAAGAAAACTCCACCACTCCAAACATGCGAAATTTCCAAAAGTTACTTGGTCTCTATTACTGCTTACTTCAAAACACCAATCATAGCTCCCTCTGGATTCGACTCTGGACTTCAACNGTCTTTACATTCATGTTGTGACAACCATGATAGAGGCTTAGACTCCCCTTGTAGTTGTACTTGCTTTTACTTACAAAGTATCAAGAGAGGTAATTCATCTTTTGGTTGTGGTGGAAACCCTCCAAAAGTAACTAGCTTTCTTCTACTTTTCTTGTTCATGTATTTCATTTCCATTGCTTGAGCATCCTTCTTCCTTAGAAGAGTGAAACTCTTCCACTTTTCTAGAGCTTTACCAAAGCCATGAAGGGTGGAAAGTGATTCACTTATTCTTCATTGAAGAAAAGCTCTTTGTTTAGTTTGCTTTACTTAGTAGCGTCTCTACTTAGAAGAATGAGTAGCACTCACTTTTCTAGCTTTGCCAAGGCCATGAAAAGTGAGTAGTTCCTCATTCACTATTTAGTAAGAGGTGATGAGTGTGTAAAGATTATCCGAAAGTTATGTTTGTGCAACTTCTTCATGCTTTAATGCTTTATACTCCACCTGTTCATCGGACGATTGAATGCCCCAAGTAAAGTTGAGGTACTTTGTATAACCAAGGGCCCAATCTATGATACAGATGACTCCTGCATAAAAAGATCCGTTGGTTCAATGCAAGTACCCTGACTAGCTCTTCATGACAATCTTTCAATCCCCACTATCATTATGCTTTATTCAAAGAATGGATCATTAATGCCATGGTTGGATGCCTTGTAGAAACACTTGCTTGTTTGTAGACGGTTTAAATCTCGGCATAGACAATTCTTGTAAATTTCTAGAAAGGCATCAGAATCATGTGCTTAATTCTCATAGTCTATCTTTATCTTCTGATTAATTTGTTGTTGACACGAAAGTAAATTGAGTTATAAAGCACAAACATAACAAAATGGATACTCTGTTACATGTCTTGATCCTTGAGCTAAAGAGTAGTTGTTCCATTTTGAGAATCTTATATTTTGTCTAGAAAACTCTTGAATAGAATCTTCTATTCTAATAAAGAAAACTCCACCACTCCAAACATGCGAAATTTCCAAAAGTTACTTGGTCTCTATTACTGCTTACTTCAAAACACCAATCATAGCTCCCTCTGGATTCGACTCTGGACTTCAACGGATTATTACTACAGCTTGACCGCCTACACTTGGGTGTACACATTTTGGATCAAGCCAACCAGTGTGCCACAGGCATCGCCCAGCACATGACGAGCATAGCCCTACCTCTTCGTGTCTTCATGAGGATCCTCTTCGGTGTCAACCAACCCACAAAGGGTGTCACTACCCATGCCCTTAGCACCATCAACAAGGTAGCCAGTGTCGCCATCCACTCCGGAACTTGCGCCAAGGGTGCTGCCCTCCATATCTCCTACGACATCACCGAAGCCACCTCTCATCTTGCCCATTAAAGCACCACCTCCAGCGCTGTTGGTGCCCCTGCCTTCGCCTCCCATGATGTTGCCAGTGCTATGGGCACTGCCTTCTTCACCTTCAGAAGGGTTGCGACCCACAATATAATGGGTGTCGCCCATGCCTTCTCCACTATGGGCACCACCCATGCCCTCTCCACTCTGGGCGGACTTGGAGGCTTGGTGGTGGAGTCACCTATGGTTTCTATGCAGAAAGCAATACCAACTGCCATGGATTTGTGCTGGGAATCACGCTGTAGAACGTTAACTTTCGCCTGTCTGACACAATCGAGTGGTGGGTCGTCTCTTCCATGACAAGAGGTCGATTGGGGGAGTGGCAATGCCACTTCTTTGCCAGATTTTTTCGAAGTCATTGGTTCTCTTGATTTGCTAAGCTCAGATTGGTCTCCTAAATCCTTTAAGGGTGCCCTAAAATAATGGAATTAGGTTTTAAAGGATATATCTCTATTGAGCTCAATGGAAGTGTTTGGTAGCAAAACAGGAAACATGGGGAAATGGGGAAAATGAGCTCTGAGGAAAGAAGAAATCAAAGATTGGAGAAGCTCCATGGGGAAGAAGAAACCTTTTTGGGTTTATGGATGAAGAAGCTCACTCATGCCCATAATACTTTTTAACCACCACTAGGGCTTGGGGCATAGGGGAAAATGACGAGCCCATAATCAACTAGGTCAAACTCGATAAATCAAGTAAGACCAAATCAACTAAAAGCTAGGTCAAGCCCAATTCGTGAATTCGACCTAGCCCAAGGTCCAAGGAATTCAAGAATAATTAGAGCACGTGGGGAACAATTATCTTGATACTGACTCTCGAAGATCAAGGCAACCTCTTATGGCACTTACCTTTTGTAGCTACTCGAAGAATTATTACATTTTTCCTCACGTCACCGAGATAACCAAGGCTCTGTGCCTATAAATTGTAAGCTTTCTTTTCATGAGAGGGGACCTCTTGATCTCTCTACACCTCTCTACACACCCTACACATAGATTTTCTCTTTCTTACATATTGTACCTCTCCTGGAGCTAACCATTGCTCTCCCTCTCTATCTCTGTCACTCGCGTTTACCATACTTCATCAATAATGGTCCCTCGGCTACCGTTGCCATTTCCTAAAGTGAAGTAGGTCACTCGGACCGAACCACTATATATATGTATTTTGACTCAATATTTACCTTTTTGGCATTGATTGCTTTATTAATTGTCTCATTAATTTTCTAAATTATTCACTCGACTGTTGATCTTGCATAAAACTATTTTGTGCATCATCACTACTCACACTTCATTGCTATAAACAAGCAAGAAGGGTGAGATAATCTCATTACAATATAACAAAAATAAATAAAAGAAATCCTATTATGAGGAATAGTTGAAACACCCACACTCTTTTTTCTAGCTATGGCAGAAAAGTGAGAGAGGTTCAACCCTCCAAGTAAAAAGGATGCAAAAGAAATGTAGAAGAAGAGATTCTGCCTTATGGAGTGTTCAGGGCTTGGTTTTTTTTTTTACTGGTTTTTTATTTCTTCTCTAGAGAAGTCCCCCTTTCAAATGGTTGAGGTTGGCTATTTATAGGCCCTAGGAAGGAACTCCAAGGGCAGCAGACACCCAAGTTGGCCAATCAGGTTCCTCTGTCATCTTTTTGGACCAATGGGAAAAGAGGACGGCAAAGGCAGTCTGGCCATCGTCCAAACGCCACCACCACCGTCTAGACAGTGCTAAACCTCTGGTTTTTATGCTAGTAACCTCCCTTTATTCACTTGTTTGACCTTCTGGCATTGGGAAGGTGGTGCATCATCCGGATGGTGGTCCTTATGCTGATTTTACACTTTCCTCCCTCTCCTATTTGCCTTTTCGCACTTCCATCCTTACAAGTTCTAATAATTATACATGAAACCTTACAAAATATACAAATTAAACATTAGGCATAATAATATTCAATTTAATCATTTTAATTCAATTAACACACACTTTTAACCCTAAACCCTTATTCAATTCCACACTTTTTGGGGTTAATCACACCCCCAACCACACATTACTAGTCCATAACAATAAGAACAAATAAAATAACTTTCATAGATTTTACGATTGCATTTAGTCTATGCAACAAGCCGTTAAACTCCTAGATGATCCATAGTGGACGAGTTTTGTCTTGTGAAAGTTTTTAGTGAAGATACCTACAAACTTCAACAGTTAAGATAAAATAATTCATATTCTCACACATAGAATTAAATCATCATTCTATTCTTTTGACAAAATATTCCATCTCCTATCACTGTAAGAATAACACAACCAACTATAACACTATTCTATATATTTTCAGAAAAACTCGTGCTTGTGTGGAAATTTCTTTATTTCAAAAACACTAAAGAAATATCATAGTCATTTACTATGTTGTACAAGAGTTAGTCTCGATGCCAATTCTTTTATGGAAATCACTCATAAAAGAATACACCCAATTTTTAGTGACAATCATTCAATAATTACATGTGGTAGGAATATTGAAATCAAAACAAAGTGATGGCACATGTAATATTCAAAAAGAAGGTTATTTGAATAAAACTGAAATTTGACATAATCTCATAAAAGAATATTAACACTGTATAAAATAACATTGTCAACATTCTCCCTTTTAATGAATGCATGAAAATGATACACATGCATGACTTCTAGAATAAAAAAATGACTTTATTGGGGTTATAACGTGCCTAAGGGTATTGGGTTTAAGAAACTACATCTAAGGGATTCAAAAAACCTATTATTTTCAATTTGTGTAACACACACTCCTCTTTGACTTTCCAGGCTCTTACAAAACATCATATTTTGCATTCTTCATTTTTAATCTCAGGCTTGTAATTTCTTGGCTATTTTCTTTCTTTGCATACTTTCCTTTTCTTTTCTATTTCTGTCTTTCTTTCCCAAATTATTTTCCTTTGTTTTCGAACCATATTTCACTATTTTTCTCTTTTACTATATAATTTTTTTTTTCTGGAGAGGGTGCAAGAAAATTATATAGCAAGGGTTAGACAAATATACTTGCATCGACTTGGTTAACATATGGGTTTAGGAAAAGAAATTTTACTTAGGCTCAATCACGGCTTAGTAGGGATAAAGTTTTGCAAAAGAAATGGCCAAGGCTCAAATAAAATCACTATTGACCTAAAATCATTTTTCAGAACTCATACATCTGCATGATTCTCATAAAGATTTAAAGGAGAATGTTAGCATGTCCTTCGACGAGTGTTAATCAAAAGAAGATTAATTAGAAAATTCAAAGAAATTTTCCACTAAATTGAAATTCTTACTTGAGTAATTGTTGTTAAAAATCTCTCCAAGAAAGATTGGCTCAAAATCTGCAATAGGGTTTCACATCCCCACTATATGTGTAAACTTCATAAAGGATCATGTTATTTCAAAAAGGTTTTTCAAAATAAGAAATTCTTATGTGCTCAAACTAATGTGTTTTCTATGAAAAAATAAATATAGTGTACAAACTGTGATGTGGTTAAGTTTATACCTACAAATTAACAGAATTACAATATAATTTTATCATGAGTAATACGAACTAATTATCTTGCCATAGCAAAAATTATATGAAACATCACTACCAACTAAACAATTGGAATAAAACCATAATTCAAACATCCAAAAGTACTTAAAACCAAGTGAATAATCTAAAATGTAAATAAATAGTTCAATATAAGTAAAGAGAGAATAAAAGATGTAGAAACTCTAGATGGCTAGGCTGATGATGAAAGGCCACCACCGTATCTCCTTCCAATCAGCCTCAGAATCTCGTTCTGGTTCTCCTTATACTTGGTCATTCTTTGATCAAACTGGGTCATCATGATTTCAAGACATAACAAAATCTATCTTTTAGTTCGACCATCAATTGGAATGTAAGGGCTCCTCTGGTGGCTGAAAATTTGCTCCTTCTAGAAATGGGTTTACTTATGATTATGGTGGTGCTTCTTGCTGAGCTTCTACCTAAACTCTATGGCTCTTTTTAAGTGAAGTTTTATCCAAGGGAGCCAAGCGCTCCACTAGAAGCCATGATGGATTTGCTATCACTCCTTTCAATCTACATAATTCAAATACTAAAACAGCAAAAAGAAATGAGGGCTTTTTGTTTTTGACAGTCAACATCATTTGATCCATTATTAGTGTCGGTAGGTCAATGGTGTATCCCATTCCAGAATAATATAGAAAATAATCTATTTTAGTATAGATTTGATTTTTCTGACACTGGGGCAGCAAATTGTTTACAGTTATGAAATTAAGAATTTGACATTTGTTAGTCAAATCTCCTTACTTAATATACTTATTTGTCTTATCCCAGACATAATCTAGATTTCCAGTCAACTCAATCCCAATGGTAGACATATTAGGCAATGTAGTAAGGGGATATTGGGGATGCTGATGTCTTGGTATAGGGTTTAAATAATTTGCAATTGTAGATGGTGTAACTTGAAATGCAATTCCTCTAACATATGCACGTAATTCCCTTGGCCCAGTTTCTTGTGCATTGCTGTAGAATTCTTGGACTAAACATTCATAGGCAAGGCCTACAAGCTTCACATAATTTAACCAACCTCGTGCTGCTAAATTTTTCCTAACCTCAATGGGTTCAAAATCATCATACATCATAAGCCTTTCATAAATAATAGTCTCAAACATAATACTATTAAACTAATTTTCTTTTAAAAATCTAATCAATGTGTGATGATCATTGCTTCAACAAGGAATTGCCTCAATCCATTTAAAAACAAAATCAACGGCAACCAAAATGTACTGATGTCCAGAGGAGGGGGAGAATGGTCCCATAAAATCAATTTCCGAACAATCAAAAATTTTAATAATCAAAATAGGATTTTAAGATATCATGTTTCTTTTTGAAATATTTCTCATCCTTTGACATCGGTCGCAATTTAGACAAAAATATATACATCCTTAAAACGAGTAGGCCAATAAAGTTCACACTATAGAATTTTAGTATCAGTTTTCTTTGTAGAAAAATGTCCACCCCAGGCTTCAAAATGTAAAAATTAAATGACCTGACCTATTTTATTATTAGGTATACAACGCCTTATTATCTGATCTTTAGAGTATTTAAACACATGGATCTTCCCAAAGAAAATAATGTACCTCTCTTAAAAATTTCTACTTATCGGTCCAAGTATAAGGAAAAGGAATAGTACCTGTGGCTAAATAATTGGCTGTATTGGCATACCATGGAACCTGTATTAGTGCAAATAATTAATTATCAGGGAAGGTTTCTTTGATTGGTATTGACTCCTCTTTTGTTTCTAATTCGCCCTTGATAAATGATCAACTACCAGATTTTCAACTCCTTTATTATCTTG